TCATTGTCACGCATCACCCCACTGTTGCACCACAGGAAAAGTCAGTAGAAACATTTAGAAAGGCGGTACAAAAAACCATTTAAATAGTCCACCACCAACACCTGAAAGTCAGTCAAGGAGCATCAACTGAGGTCGCCTGTCTGATCTCCTCATGTGAAGCTGAGGTAAGATGCTCATGTTCTTTCTTTATTGAGGAATAATTTGATGGAGGAGAATCTACAAAAATGTTATCTGAAAAGAGTTGCTGAGCAGCACTGAAAACAGTGACTTGTTTTTTTTGTATTCCTGTGGGCCAAGTTTAACCTTATTCTCTACTATTCCATAGCTGTCTATGTCAGGAAGGCAAATTGAGCTAGCATTGTTATAATACTCAAAATTATTTGAGTATTATATTGGGGGTGGCTATAGCTTAGGAGGTACTGATCCTAAGCTTAGTGGTTCGATCCCTGTTTCCACCAGTCTGCATGTCAAGCATCCTTGGGCAAGATACTAACCCCAAGTTGCTCTCTGATACATCCATTGGTGTATGAATGCAGTTAGGAAGCACTCCAAGTTTAGAAGAAAGTGATTGGGTGAATGTGGCATGTTGTATAGAGCGCTTTGAGTAGAAAAGCGCTCTGTAAGAATCAGTCCATTTACCATTACTTGTTTTTAAGAAGTTAAAAAAGTTTTGTGTGCCATGCTCTTAACAACCCTTGGCCTGCATTTATCAAGTTAGATTTTTTTCCCATCTTCTGCAAGTTAGTACTCTAGTGCTGTGTTTAGCAATGAGGTGCACTAAAATTGAAATGACTAATAGAATGAGCGGGCTGGATTCCACAGTCTCATAAACAGTGTATCTGTTACTAATGAGGTTGTAATTTGGTTAAAAAAGAGCTGATTTAGTATAAATATGAAGAGGAGGATTTATTTATACCATGACTCATAACTCCTCATGTATGTTTTCTACTTTAAAATGTGTTCTCTTTGTACTTGAGACTACCCACAGCTGTCCAAACATGATTATTCTATATCCTTTCAGAATACATCTGAGGGAAGCATCAAGATGGCGGTAAGTGGCTGTATATGCTGAATCATATATTAGTAGCTTCTTTTTGCTGAAAGTTTTGAAGTAAGTAAAACTTTATCTATTTAGCACTTTTCAAGACAAAGATCACAAAGTGTACAAAGTGAACCCCTACCTGCTTCCACAGCACTCTCTCGCGATCACAATATTCCAAATGCAGAAGGATAACAGAAACGCTATCGCATATGCTGCTCAGAGGCTCCAGAAGTTGGCTCAGCCTTTCTGAGCCCGTCGGCCGCTAGCAGCCTGTTGCTCGAGCTGTCGCAGAACAATGTTCATACTGGTGGGGGG